AGTCTGGGGCATCAGCCTTAAGGAAGGGTTGAATAAAGGAAACTGTACAGCTGGCCGGTATGTCTGGCTTTTCCTGCTAGCTGTTAAATTGAATTTGCAGCTTTCAGAAGCAGGGAGTTGCACTTGGATAGGCCATGTGGTATATGTAGTTGTATGTATATCAATGGTGGTGGTGTTTGGCTCTGAAATATTTTATGCATGGAAAAATGTCACTTTTAGTTGAGTTTATTGAAGCTTAGTTTCATTGAATTGTTGTGTGCCTCTTGTTTTGCAAGGGTTACAATTTCGAGATAACATGCCAGCCTTATATATAATTTACATCAGGAGCTTTTACATAATTGATATCAGGTACTTGAGGAGTGCAGACAGTGCAGGTCAGTAAAGTTGTTATGAATACAACATAGTTGTAATTATTGCAGAAAGGTGGATACTCAATTATATGCTTAATGGAAGGAAAGTTTACTAAAAATATTAATGGGAAGCTTTAGTGGAGTTTGGTAATTACTATGTGTGCTGTTTAGTTACCTGTAGTTATTATTAAGTAGTAAACAGATGCACTATGCATTTGCAAACCCGACTTGTTCTGTAAGTGGAAAACTTTTTTGAGAGTTTCATCAACTTTCGTAGCAGTATGATTCATTTACTATATATGTACGTATGTTTGGATGGATTTTGAGCTGTCTGGCTTGAAAAAGGAAGGGTTTTACGTGTGAGCAGAGTATAGTTAAACATCCAGTCCTCATTACAAGTTTTCAAGCAGACCACTCTCGTTGCCTTGCCTCTGAATTTCAGAGTTTTTATGAAAGGTGTTGCAGAATAAAACCCCTGACTTTGGAACATTTGACAGAGAAACACAGAAATAATTTTCATGTTACCAATTAAAAATGCTAAGTCTGTAGAATTTTATAGTAATTTTTCCCTTGAACTCTCTTCATCCAGCAAAGGTAGTAAGTAGCACATCAGTTAGTTTTATTCTCTGTCCAGTCAGTGTCCTAGCACTGTTTGTGAATAGTGTGGGAGATGTTTCAGGCCAGGTTTTGATGGCAGTTATTTGAGATTTCATTAAGAACTTTTTAAGATTTATAAATATTTCTTGGGCAGAACATTGGGTGACATGGTCTAGTGTGAGGCAACCCTGCCCATAGCAGGGGGGTTAGAACTAGATGATCTTAAGGTCCTTTCCAACCCTAACTATCTGTGATTCTATGAACTTGGCTCAAGCCCTCTGCAATCATATCCTCTTAAAGTCACACTCTAGTCATCCTTTCTATGTATTCTTTTTTATACTGGTTTCCTCCTCCTTATCCCAAACCCCCTCCAAAAAAGAAAAAAGAAGTTGGCTGGGGTGTGTCAGAATCCAGCAAAGACCTCCCAGTGCTGAAGGGATGATGCCTGTATCCTCACTTGCACATCCCCAGGGCATGGAGCGAGACAGAGCCATGGTGCCTAGAGGCTCTGCAGCACAGGAGCCATGCCCCAAGTCAGAAGAGCCCTTATGGAGGGGTGAAGTATGTGGGAGCTGCTGCCTGACCTCTGGTGCCTGAAGTCCCTGCCCTGGCCCATGCCAAATGACGGTGGTCACAGTGCACCTTAGAAGTTTGTGCAACACCAAGGAGTATAATGGGACAGAGACTTCAGATTCCACCAGTATCTGTAACAAAGAGATACTCTTTTTTTCCCCATAAAAATGTGGTCTGTATGCACTAAAATATTCTGGCCTCTTTATTTGTGTGACCCACAACCATGTTCCTTCCTTCTCAAACTATCCACAGGTGAGGTTTTAAGCATGCTGAGTCTTTAGAGAGTGCATGGAGGTGTTAAGGAAAGATCACTGTCACTTTTTTGGTTTCTGAGTCCAAATTGCTTCAGGGAGCAAAATGAACCCTACAATAAATAACAGAATCTGACATATGGTAGAAGTTACTGGCAAGTTGTTAGCCAGCCAAAAACTGTGGCAGTGCAGCTGAGAGTCCTTCTGGAGCTTTGTGTTCAGAGCCTGCGCCTCCTTGTAGGCAGCTCTGTTGGTACTGATGCTATTGTGCAGGCAAATGTTCTGTCAAATGGCTTGCCCAGAATGATGGCATATTTCTGTACCAGCACTGACAAAAAACAGCTATTTATCTGTGCATTTGGAAAAGTCCTGTGCCTGGAGCTGATGTGCATATGATGCCACTGGCTTGACCTGGGAAACTTTGGTGGCTTCTGCATATGACTCTGGCATGTACAGAAGCCACCAGAAAACTGGTTTTGCTGAAGTTTTCTTTTAAGTGCCAGAGAATTGAGCTTCCGGAGTCTGAGCTCTTAAGTGGCGCTGGTACTGAATATTTAGATCGTTACTGTCCAGAGTAACAATGGTTCTGTTGCTTATGTTTTGTTTCTCTAGCGTGTGAGGCATCAACATTTTGCTAGTTTTTCCTTATTGACTCAGTGTTTCTAAGAAAGCAGAATAGATAAGTTGTGAAAGTCTGATAGCAAAAATAAAATTCAGAAAAAAATTAACAAGTCTTCCTTATTTGTCATGGGTGCAAGAATTGAGACAAATGTGTTTTGATTTCCTTTGGGCATTGCCTCTGCTAAGGAATTTCACAAGTGGAATTGTCCTTCCTTTCACTTCAAAATGTCAATGATAAACAGGATATTTGTTTGTTTTTCATGCTTCTCACTGAGCTGCTTGCCTCTTGAGGTTTATAAAGAGAAGTCTCTTTCTTTCTTTTCTATTCTGTCATTTATTACAGGAAGTTAATGCCAGAGAGTTCAGATTTCTTTTTTTACTGCTGAAGTTTGTTAGGAGCATAAGACTTTAAAGTATTAGCTAACCTCTAAAAGCACCATGTTGCTGTTTATCTGTGGTTCAAGAAGTAAAAGGATATTTGAGGATACAGGCTGTTTTCCTCATTCATGAGGTTAACCTCACTCCTTGTTGGGAAATATATACAAAACACAGACTTACTCATTTAGGAAGTACTTTGGTTTTACTTTAAAGTAGCCAGTGACAGGTCTGGGCCATGTTCTGGCTTCGTATCTAAATGTTCAGTTTGTGTGTATTGAAGTCAGTTGTTTCAGAAATACACAAATCTAGCATCAGCATCTGACCATTTACTTACTTATTTTTAATCAGCTAATTCTTTCTTCACTGAAACATGTTTAATTCCTTTTGAAATCAACATCTGATGTGCCTAAATCAAATTATTTTTCTTGCATAAAGAACTGAAGTTCTATCTGAAATTACACTGTTAGAATCTGGAAGCAGAAACCATCTCTCTTTTTGCACATCAAGGAAAGATACATTATATTTTAGTTTATGACCAGATAAATTATTTTTGTTCTTATTTTAGATTGGTGTAAAGTTTACATGTGCTTGTATATTTCTTTATGTATTCTGAAACTGATGTGACATTACTAATAATCACATTATTTGGAAAGGTAGTGAGCACCCTTCTTTCTTCTAGGGTGGTGTGTGGAGGAGAGCCTATGCCTTTCTGTCCAATCACTTTTTAAGGCTGTGTTCCTACAGCATTTTAACCCTACCTTTGTAATTCATTTGCTGAGTGAAATCAACTGGAAAGCATTAGTGTAGGCAGTAGCAATCTGAAACTTCTATAGACTGGAAAAGTAAGGTTTGCTGCCTTTTGTTTTGTTTCTCAGCTCCAGAAGAAAAGGATGCAATTAAAGGACAGTATGAAAAACTCATGGACGCTTATGGCTGCTTAGGAGAGCTTCAGCTTAAATGTGGTAAGTGACCATCTGTATGACTGAGATTATAAAATGCCCAGACAATGCTAAACAAGAACAAGAGGCTAAAGTTATCCAGTTTCTTAACTTGTGAAAGCTAATTGCACTGTGTTAGGTACAGTCTGGAAAAGATCCATTTCTCTTCCTATGCTGCACCAAAAGCGTATCACTTAAAGGATAGTCTAAGAATTTTGGATTTTTTCTCACTTTTGTTTTGTTTGACATTCTTAGCTGCCTAAAGATAATTGCCGTATTATATATGGTATATATTGCCATGTATACCCTACCACGTTTGTCCAAGGCAAGCTGTGATTTCTTACTTTTTTTTTAAGGGTTATGTTTAAACACTGATTAATCAAGGTCATCTGATACTGTGATACTACAGATTGCCAGTCCTTGATACAACACTCACTTGCCTTTAATTGAATAATTCACATGGATAAGGATCTGCAGAAGCAGGCCTTTAACTTCAGCTAGTAAGAGTAAGGAAAACTTGTTGTCATTGCTATAAATTTCTGTACAATTTGGGAATTTTGATGTACCAAAGGACTTGCTATTACACTGACAACAGGAATGTTAATGGAAATAGCATGTTTTAGAGAGAGAGCTGGAGTCATTGATTTGAAGGTACCTTATACAGCAGACTTCACTGATGAAAAAATGCATTAAAACTATATGCACTATATGCCTTGTTCCCAGGGTCTTCTTACAGTAAACCTTAATTTTGACTTGGAGGAATGACAAGACTGTTTTCCATATAACTTGCTGCTTGGTCAAGGAATCTGCCAAAGGCAGTGGTGGTGTAAGCAGGGGTGTATTTAGACCAGTAGATGTAAGTGTAGCTTTTTATAGCCTACTTACCATTTTATGGTTTGAGTAATATGACTTGAGATTGATCTGAAGAAGCTACTGCATCAAGAGAGATTGCTGTGTCATAAGTTAAAACTGTAGGCTCATCTAGTCTTTTAAAATGAATGTGGGCTTTTTATTTTTTTTGTTTCCTGTGGAATTATTTAAGCATTTCTATGGAGATTAATATCAGTTTGTTAATGTAATTAAAAACAGAGGGTTTGTAATTAGTTTTTCTTGGAACTTGGATCTGTTTTTCTTCATAGGATTCTAATGAATCCTGTTATAATAATAAATATTACATGATAGTGTAGCTATTGAATTCAAGCTCTTCAAGCTACAGGTGAGGGTAGCTTCTTGTATGTGATGCGCCAGTTTTGGTCTTCCTATCAAAATTGAATGATTTTAAGTGGGATGTGAAATTTTCTCAGCCTTTTTCGTTTCTTCTTTTATCTTTTTATTTCTGTGTATCCCATGTCCTTACTACTTTTTGAACAACAGCTGCTAAACCTCAGTGCCCTTAAAGTGTGAGGTTTTCCTTCTCTGAGTTTTGTCACTGCACCTCTGTCTTGTTCTGGATTTAAATTACAAGTCCTGGTACAGGACTTCCTTTCGAAGGGGTTGTTAAAAATTTTATTGGTAATTGTATGAAAAAGTTAACTGGAGGCAAACTTCTAACTGTGACTGAAAAGTCAGGAGGGTCATGCTGTAATGGTAAGCAAAGGTAAGCGAACATTTTGTGATGCTGAACACGTAGCTAAGTTCCATCCCTTCAGCTGTTGCTTGCATAAAAGATTAACACTGGAAAGGAATTGTACTGGGTTTGCGTGACAAGGTTTAGGTAGCAGTGGGGGCTACAGAAGTGACTTCTGTGAGAAGCTGCTAGAGGCTCTGTGTCCGATAGAGCCAAGGGTAAGAGCTCCAAGATGGACCTGCTGCTGGCCAAGGCCAAACCCATTAGTGGTGGTGGTAGCACCTCTGCGATAACATGTTTAAGAAGGGAAAAAAACCCTGCACAACTGCAGCCAGAGAGAGGAGTGAGACTGTGTGAGAGCAACAGGTCTGCAGACACCAAGGTCAGTGCAGAAGGAGGGGAGGAGGTGCTTCACATGCCAGAGCAGAGATTCCTCTGCAGCCTGCGGTGCAGACCATGGTGAGGCAGGCTGTCCCTCTGCAGCCCCTGGAGGTCCATGGTGGAGATGTCTTCCACAGCCTGCAGGTGAATCCCACACCAGAGCAGGGGGGTACCTGAAGGGGGCTGTGACCCTGTGGGAAGCCTACACTGGAGCAAGCTCCTGGCAGGACCTGTGGCCCCATGAAGAGAGAAGCCCACGCTGGAACAGGTTTGCTGTCACCAACCCCGCAGAGGACCCACGCTGGAGCAGCCTGTTCCTGAATGCCTGCACCCCATGGAAGGGACCCACGCTGGGGAAGTTTGTGAAGAACTGCAGCCTGTGGGAGGGACTCACTTTGGAATTTCATGGAGGACGATCTGCTGCGGGAGCTATCCCATGCTGGAGTAGGTGAAGTGTCTGAGGGGTCCTCTCTGTGGGGAGGAAGGAGCGGCAAAGACAACATGGGATGAACTGACCATAACCAGCATTCCCCATCCCCTGTGTTGCTGTGGGGTAGGAGGTAGGGAAAATCAGGAGTAAAGTTTAGCCCAGGAAGACTAGAGAGGTGAGGGGAAGGTGTTCTAAGGTTTCGTTTCATTTTTCACTATCCTACTCTGGTTTGATTGGTAGTGAATAAAACTGCTTTCCCTAAGTCAAATGTGTTTTGTCCATGATGGTAATAGGTGAATGATCTCTCCCTGTCCTTAACCCGTGAACCTCTCATTGCTCTCCACTGCCCAGTTGAGGAGGGGAGTGATAGAGCAGCTTTGATAGGCACTTGGAGTCCAGCCAGGATCAACCCACACAGGAATGCAGTGTAACTTTGTTTTTCATATAATGTATTTTAGTAGCTGCAAACAAGGGCAGAATAGGCCAGCTCTTCACTGAGCAGCAGTGATCACATCAACTTTGTTCAGGAATATCAGTATTTCTTTTCTTGCTACTGGAAGCCTGCAGACCATACCTACTAAATTAACTGAAAATATTTGTAAAAGTACGTTCCACTGGAATATTAAGAGTATATTTGTTGAGCAGAAGGGGAGACTTTTTTCCGAGACATTAAAGATGTCTCTGAGCACTTTTAATTAATCTGTAAATATCACTACTTAGGAATCCAAATAAATCACATTGTATTCCTGCCAAAGTAGATCGTGCTTTTCACAAGAAAGTAGATGAAATATGTGAAACTGACTCACAAAGTTAATGTTTCCCACCAGTAATAACATTCATTTCTATGTACTTACGCCTGTTAACATGACTCACTAAGTTCTTCTGCTTTCTTTTGTGAGATGGATGGCAGCAGAATGAATCGTACAGTGTTTCTGAGTTGTATCTCAGCCAAAATTTTGCTGCCAAAGAAGATCTAGCAGTGGCAAATACATCTTAAGCAAAGTGTTAAATGAGCTGGCTTTGCGGGGTTCAGTTTAGACACTGGTGTCAGGAAGGGGTGCATATATAAGGTAGTATTTTGACACCATTAGCACATAGGTTGTTTAGTTTAATACAGCTGCCATATTTGGGGAGTCATTCTGAATTCATTTGACTGTGTATATACTCTTGCTCTTGCACATATACAATGTGTAGTTGAAAGGAAGAAGTTTCAAAGGCAAAAAGGACAACTAAGTACCTGTTTTTTATTGCTTTTGAACATTTCCTAATAATGTAATTGTATTTAGTAGAGGCAGAAGGAGTATCTTTGAGACTAAAACTGTAGTTTGGAAGATCTTGTTCTTTTCATAATTCTGCCATAGATTTCCTCAGAGATTTTCAGCTGGATGGTTAGAATCTGTTCCTCTGCTGTGTTCTGTTGCTAATTTTGAAGGCAGACAAGGCAAAGATACCTTGCAAAATGTTTTTTGGACAACTATAAAGCGAAGTGGAGGTATGTGTGGAATGGTGATGGAGCAGGCTGAGGGAACACAAGGCAATGGCATGACTGCATTAGAATGGAGAAAGAGCAAAAACTGGAGTGAATTAATTTTAAAAAGGAAAAGGTAGTCTTCAGTGGAATACTTACAGTTAAGAAGGACGAAATAAGAATTGAATGTTGCTTCCTTTTCACTGTGGCTCGTAACAGGCAACACTGAAGCCATCCCGTAAAGTGCAGTGGAAACAATTGCCTGGAGTCATGTAGGCAGGTCAAATACGGAAGCTGTTTCTTAGTATTGTAGGGTGTGACGTACCAGAACTGCATTTCCTGTTCAACATGGATTAAGGCAGTTGGTTTCACAAGAGCTTTTGAAAAAGTAGATGCAAGTTATTTTTGTCCTGTTCCTATGCCAAATATTCTTCATCCTCTGCCTGTCTTGTGCAGCCTGATGAAAGGGCATTCAGCACATACTGCTGTGAGCGAATCAATTCTTATATTCCTTCGAAAGTGTTCTTTACGGTTGGTTGTGGTGACTTATAGCTGTAACAGGGCAAAATAATGAATGGTCTTGGTCACAATGCATGAATGTTTATACCCATCTACCTGAGAGCAAAATTTGGTCCACGAGCTTTGAAATATTGTTTTTTGCCTTTACTACTGTAGATAGGTCTTGCTTTTTCATAGATGGGTTGCTGTGGAAAGTGGCCAGTGAGGAACACTTGACCTCTTTCTCTAAAATTATTTCAGAGATTGCTTTAAAACATTGCAGATTGCATCCGAAGGAAATGAGGGCCATTTCTACAGTTGTGATCTTCAGTTGCAGTTCTTATGTTCCTAAATCCTAAATTACATCATGTGTAAAGTTTAGAAAGGCTAATATGAAGCAGAGTTGTACATTAAACTACTTGTAAAAGTTGAAGGAAAGAAGAGTTTTGTTTTCCAAGGTGGGGGGACCTGGTAAACAGTCTGCAGCTGATGTGGTTGTTGGTACAAACTGGTTTTAAGCGCCAGACCTGGAGCCTTCATCACTTCACAGGAAAAAGTTTTCTCTTTTTTTGGATTGCTTTTTATTTGCCTTGGTGTTGGCCCCATTTATCATGTGCTTTGCAGCTGTCGGCTGAATATAACATGCTTTCTGCTGCTGTTCTGCACATGAAATTAAGGCAAAATTGCCATAATTTTTCCACCCAGTGTACTTCTAATAGTTACTTTTTTGACAGGAACTGTTGGGCTCCTGTTTCAAGAAGAAAGGCTGGAGTTTGGCCTGTCTCCTACTCTAGATACTCAGGGAGCTCCTGAGAGCAGGGAGCCTCGGTAGGCTTGCTGCAGTGGTAGTACTGGCAGGGCCACTGGCTATATGGAATTGATGTGGTGTTAATTCTCCCTTTCCTCTCAAGGGTGAACTGCCAGCATTTTAGAACTCAGCTTCTAGACTTATTTGAGTTTACACTTAAAGGGTGACTGCTCACTTCATGGCTTTAGTATTTTTTTTCCATGTTGCTGTCGATATTATAGACAGAGGAAACACAAATACTTTGAACATTGTTTAGTTCCTCTCAAAGGTTGTAGCCCCATAATATGCTTCCGATAATGCTGCCAGGTGGATTTGACTGGACTATCTGATTCATTGTTGTTGTGACTGGTGTTAGTCTGGTACTTCAAGTGCTACTTGCATAAAAAGAGTTTCACTGGAAGCTTAAAAGGAGCAGTATTTTTAAGATAATTACAGAATTGGAAATCATAGTGAGCCGCAGTTTTGAAAAGGCTGCAGGGATTAGTGGAGTAGTCTGGATTGTTTTAAGGGGAAATACCATCTAGTTTCAAGGAATGTCTGGGTGTCTTTTCCAGCATAGTTGATTCTGTGATTAAAGCTGTGATATTTTCACAGTTTGCTCAGCAAAACCGATTTAATTTAAAAAATAATTTCCTTCTTGTGCCATGGCCTCACAATCTACCTACCATAGGATGTTATAGGTTGTGTTGATAGCAGGATTTTATTGTGGTGGTTTATTTTGTTTGCTTTGCTTTGTTTGTTTGTTTGTTTTGGGTTTTTTTGTTCTTCTTTCTTTCTTTCTTCTGGGGGTGTGTGTGTGTGTGTGTGTGTGGTAAACCAGGAATGCAACTTCTTGCATTCTTTTGTGAGATCTACTTGCTAATAAGAAATTATTGTTTAGGAACTAAAAGAATTTTTCAGTAAATTCTTGTCAGATAAAAATGTTATTTTCCTTGCATTGAACAATTACCAAATAACACAGTGTCTGTAATTTTTAGAAATGGAGAAAGTTGATTTTAATTTTGCTTTTTATGAAAACTGCTTGCTTCAGTAGCAGCATCCATCCTGATTGAGGCAATTTAAGCAATTGCTACCCTTAAATTTAAATGCATTTAGGTAGGGTTGTGGTTGATACAGCTGTTTTCATGTTAAGTATCTATTTTCAACAGAAAAGATTATGGCTTGTTGACATTTACATAACAGAAAAGAAACCACATTGACTTTTAAAAGTTTAAATTTAGAAGTAAATGGACTGATTTTTTGCTTTAATATATCCATAATGATAATCAGACTTTCAGTGACTGGCAAACAAACAGAAGCATTTTTCCTGTGGCTGGTAATAGGCTTCTGCCATATTAGAGTCTCTTTGGATATGTAATGCTTTTGTTTTATTCTTTGGAATAGCAATTTAAATCTGACAAAATGCCTAGGGGAAAGCATGAGTGGAGGTAGCACAGTTATAATTTTCATGACAAACTTGTTCAGTGTAGTTATCAATATATTTAAAAACATTGTCGGCTTGGGTTGAGGGGAAATGGTGTGAGAAAAAATGTTTGGGATTGAAAGAAGAAATTCCCAGACATAAACTGATGTTGGTGGCAAAAATGGGAAGATGGGGAAAGCCTTTTTTCACTGTGTATAGCTGTATAGCTCAGTGGTGAGTAATTTCTTAGACCTTAATGAAGACATGATTAAAGAATGAATAGCAGAGTAGTATTTTGGTAGCATTAATTTTACCTTGTGAGGTTCTAAAAGGATGAAAGGCTGACAGGAGCCTTACCTCTGCTCACGATCCTGTGGCTCATCTGTGCTGTGAGTAAAAATGGGGCAGGGCACAGGCTTGAGCCCTATCTATAGGATACTTAGCTTGCTCCCTGTGCCAAGAGTGGCATGTACATCAGCCAGGGATCTTCCTCCCGCAGGCAGTGCAGCGATAGCCCAGAGCTGATTCCCAGTAGCGTTGTCCAAATACTACCCGGGATGAACGTGGTATCAGGGACAGGGCTTGGGACTTTTTTCCAAGGCACAGAGTCAAAGAGATTTCTTAAGCTGGGGCTGTGGTGTTGTAGGGTTTTTGCATTCTGGCTCTTCTGTATCCTGAGGGATTTAAGCAAATCAGATTTTAGAGTTGATCTGAAGACCACCTCAGCTCACAAAGCAGTCTAGGAGGACAAAGCAGAGTAGCTTTATTGTAGCTTAAATCTATTTGTCTCTTTTCTTCCTTTTTCTCCAACTTTCTGGGCTGTAAGTGTGAACTTCCTTGCCGGCCTGCCTCTGTGAAAGGCATCTTGAAAAGTGCATGTAGGTTGCTCCATGATTTGGAGTACTGTAAAGAGATTTATTCTATGTGTACAGAATCATAGAACGGTTTGAGTTGGAAGGGACCTTAAAGATCATCTAGCTCCTACCTCCCTGCCATGGGCAGGGACAACTTTCACTAGATCACGTTGCTCAAAGCCCCATCCAGCCTGGCCAAGAACACTGCCAGGGGCATCCACAACTTCTCTGGGCAACCTGTTCCAGTGTCTCAATGTAAACCTACCCTCTTTCAGTTTAAAACCATTGTCCCTTCTCTTGTCATTACAGGCCCTGGTAAAAAAATCTCTCAATCTTTCTTGTAAGCCCCGTTTATATATTGAAAGGTTGCAATTAGGTCTCCCAGAGCAATCTCTTCTCCAGGCAGAACAATCCCAACTCTCTCATGTGGGGTTAACTGCACAATGGCAGGATAGAGTATTACAGCTTCAGAAAGCCGTTAGTCTCCTGATGCTTTTTTTGATGCTACTCCAACAAGCAGTAGCTTGTTGGCTGTGATTACTATTTCTGAGCCTATTAACTAGGGATTTGGGGGAGTGTAGATGCTGGATGCCTGCATGTGTAGATGTGTCTTCCATTCTGGGGATGAGTGGTTGAGTGGAGGAGGTAGTAAAAAGAGTCTAGAGTCTCTGCTAAGGGATAGCAATTTTCCAGGTCAGGCAAAACTGTGTAGATTTGATTGGCTTTTCTGTCATGCTTTATTCCTACTCATTGCTTTCTTAAACTAGAGGATTGTTCAGTTTAGATCCAGTGCCAGTGGAGCCAATGAAAGTGCTTGTATTTTTTGTCTCAGCATCTCAGACAGACAGCTGAGTTTGTCACTTACTGGTTTTCTATCCCTGAAGCTAACTGATAGTGAGCCATATTAATAGTGTTTGTATACATTGCTTCCAGAGTGTTTACTTTGAGCTGATCAGTTTTCATGGTTTCACAGAAGCTATTAGCTATCCTGGGAGACAGCCAGCTGCTCCTAACCCCTTCTGGAGGCTGCAAGACAGTATCTAGTCAGGTATGAACTACCATGGTGATAACTGGTGGTAGTTCATTACCATGAACTTCTTAAAAACACTCAAGAAGGAGAACACAGCATACCCTTGTTAGAGAAAGAAATGTGATGAAAAGAGTTTTTTCGTAAATTCCACCTACACTGGCCTTTATGCAAAACTGGAGTCAGCAGAACAGAATGAATAAGAGCCAATCTCCCCCTTGTCCTTCCATTCCAGTCCCATGTGCCTACACAAATATTCTGACCCTGCTGAGAACCACCCCTAACTCAAGTTCCTGTAGCCAGCCTGTGATCTGGAAGTAAGGACTCCCCTGCTTCAGATAAAAACTAGTTGGTGTGTAAGAGTTGGTCTGCATTTTCAGACAGTGGGTCACTGTGGAAGGTTGAAGAGCAGTACTACTAAGGGTGTTCTTAGCTACTTAGCTTGCTCTTGGTAGTTCAGCTGTTGTTTCTGCTATGCTAGAGCAATAAATCCTGGGTCATTTCCACCTTTTCTTACTAACTGGAGTGAATAGGATGACATTGTCTCCGTTAGAGACCAATTTAAGTGAATCAAACATTTTTTTCCTAGCAAAACCAGTGTTTTCAGAACAATTGTTCTATTGTTTCTTAATTATCATTTCAGAGAACAAGCAGCAGTTGAAATCGTGCCTTGTATGAGAGATCTGATTACAGAGGTGTTCTCAAACTTCAGAATTTATCTTTTAGTTTTGGATCCCTGAATTACAGAGTCATAGAATTGTTTGGGTTGGAAGGGACCTTAAAGACCTTCTATAGTTCCAACCCATTTCACACTTTGCTTCACAGCCAGTTCACAGCTGGAATTTTTTAGTGATAATTGAGGATGTCATCTAATCATGTACACTCGTTTGTGACATAAAAGGCAAAATCTCGAGAACTGGTAATACCAATACTTTCCAAATGGCTGGATGCACCCAGCTTCAGCTGAAGCCAGTAAGAAATCCAAATGCTTCATATCTTTAAAATTCAGAAGTAAGGTGAAAAATCCATAGTGAAGAATACACATTATCTCATACACGTTGGGTCTTTTACCTTTCCCTTACAATCAGATCCAATGAAAATGTGTTCTCTATGGTGGCAAAATTAGATTTTTGAGTAGTGTCCCAACACTAAGCTCATTGCACTTCGTAAAGTAAGTGATAAAATAGTCTAATGCAGCAAAGGACGAGAGTGTAGAAGTAGTGTGGAGTATTATGCAATTGCACTTACTTACCTGCAGTCAAAAGGAATCCAGACGTGTAAACAAAGTCTGTGTGCTTGTTTGTATTCGTTTTCTTCTGAAGCAAAGATACTGGCCTCTGCTGGAGCCCTGTCAGCATTGCATATGATAGGACTGATACAAAGGAATAGCCTGTGTCTACCTGTAACTCATTTGTAACTGTCTTGTCACCTTCTAGGTAACGCTCGGCTGCACTTTCTGGTCCTGGTGACAGGCTGTACATCAGTGGGAAAAATCCTGGACGCTGAAGTTTACAAAATTACTGCAACAGATTTCTGTCCTCTCCAGGAAGAAACCAAGGAAGAGGAGCGCGTTACTGCCTTGAAGAAAATACTGAACTCTGGGATGTTCTATTTCTCCTGGCCTAATACAGGCTCAAACTTTGACCTGACTGTGCGGGCTCAGAAGCAGGGTGATAACCACTATGAATCTGGTAACTCGTTCTTCTGGTTAGTACTGCATGTTATACCGAAGTCTTCTGTTATCCTTACCTGTATCTCACTAGTCAAACGTTCTCAGAGGGAAATAAACATATGCATTTCAGGTGCACCTCCTTTTATCTCATTGTCATGTCATTTTAGAGGGCATGTGGCCTTAATGAATTCCTGGTAAACCTGGGTCAAACATGTAACTTCTGTTTAATTAGAATTAATCTGATGGTGAAATGCAATTATGGTAACATTTTGTGGTTTTGAGAAAACACAAGATGTACTGCTCACACAACAGAAACATGTCTCTAGATGTCAAGAATAGTCTCCCCTGCATTTTTTTTTAATAATTTGCTTTAAAAGTTATCTAATAGAAACCTGCACTTGAACTGTTCATCAATCCCATCATGTGTGCTGAGGTATCTTCTACTTTTTAAAGTGTGCGCATTTGAAGTCTGCAGTTTAATATTTCAGTAATATGCCCCAGTTTTTATGTTGAAAACATCAATATTAGTATGTTTACAGCTCAGTGTAAATGTGCTGCTCTGTACTTCTTACTTTCTTGTGCTTACAAAGCAAAAAACCCAGAATTTCTTGTTGTGGTATCAGTTGGGTGGAAAGGAAAACACATAATGCTGGGTTTTGTCTTCCCTAGGTGGGTTCAACATTGATTTAATTCAGTTTGTTTTCTTTACAATTCTGGCAAAATGCTTGGATTCCTATACCCTTTATTTTTTTAAACAAAAAGATAGTCACACAGGAAGCATAGCTGTACTGGAAATAAACAATGGTTATACGATGCAGGTGGAAAATAACTGGCAGAGTTAAATGTGGGTGTGCCACTAGAATGTGTGATGGGTCCTGTGGTCCGAACTAGGTGAATATTATATAAACAAAACCAAAAATTTCATAATAGATGATAAATGAAAATGAGAGAGCAGTTTAGAAAGACTGTTTAGCCTGGATAGCCATGGTGTGATTTTTGGCTGGTAAGATCTAGTGTTTTGAGTTTAACTCGGAAGAGAGATTTATAAATCTTGGTTTCACCTCTGCTAATTATGCATCCTTCTCAAAGAGTTCACCAAACACATCAAGTAAGACACATGGCCCAAATGAACTGTATTCCCATGATGAAAATCCTAACATGTCAGTATCCCTTAATAAAGAAACAACCTTTAAAGCAACTCTTTTTACCTGTTCTGTCTTTTGAAACTTTTCTTCTTGGAAGATAGGAATTTGAACTTTCTTTTTTTGCTGTTCTGGCTAATCTAGAAGTAGCCCTTGACGAGGTTCTGTTCTTGTGTTGTAGAACAGGGATGAATGGTGACAACATCACATTTAAAAAATTTATCTTGAGGCAGTTACGCGATATGGGAAATTTCAGACCAAACAATAGATTCTTGAGAAAAGTAAACAGTGGAATAAATAGTTACACAATGGAAAGTGTCAGATGTTCTTAGTTAGAAGCAACACAAACTGCCTGTTAAATGAACTGCAACAACAAAAAACATCTGCTGGAATTAGTCTGAGTGAGCATTTTCTCTGCGAGTAAAGCTAGGAGAAGGAGGTGGAAAAGATACTGAAATCGTTTTAGAGCTGCTTTTTCAGTTACATATTTAGTTTTAGAAGGTAAGAATGACTTGCACCTTTTTAAGAAAAATGCCGTACTCTAGAAGAACAATTCTTCAGGGGGTTTGCTAGATGTAATAACTCTTGTATTACTGAGCAATATATGATTATAAAAGGGCCCTCATCTGTGGCTAAAGGCTCATTTTGGAAAACCATCATAATAGAAGAGACTAGTGTCACTGTTAAGCAGGCATGATAGGTTTCTCGGATTGTTGATTTTAAAAGAAATTGAAGGTTAAAACAGACATTCCTCTGAATTCTAGTAGCACTTTCTGCAGTATCTTCATTGACTCATGGGTCCAGTTTTTGCTTGGAAAAGTTTTCCTGAAAATCCTGGTGGATTTTAAAATGGCTCTTCATCCTGTAGTGTATGCTAAAGCAGTCCAGGCAATATTATTCAGAAAGTTATCAGCTTGACAGCACTCTCATTTATGAAAAAGATTGCTAAATTTAAAAGTATTCCTGGAGCTGAAAGGGGTGACATTTGCATCTGAATTTTTGAGAGAGAGGTACAAGATATAAGGACAGCACCTTGGTGGTAGCTGAGCTGTTACAGTTTGCCATGTTCTTTCCACTGTAGTAGTTCGCAAGGATTTCTTTCTGATATTTTCTGGTTTTGGATAAAGGTACAACAGAAAAGGGGTCACAAAATACTAATTGCTTCAATTAGTGGTTATTATGGGGTGGCACCCATGCCTGTCTTACTTTATTCAGTAATGCATCTGTATGTTGTTGGGCCTTTCAGGAACCAGCTATTGCACGTGTCCTTCAAACACTACCAGGTGAACTGCTCTGACTGGTTGCTGAAAGTGATGTGTGGGGTAGTGGACATTCGCACTGTTTATGCTTCCCACAAGAAGGCAAAAGCCTGCCTCATCTCTCGCATCAGCTGTGAGCGAGCTGGTGTCCGGTTTCACATTCGAGGGGTCAATGACGATGGGCATGTGTCCAACTTCGTTGAGACAGAGCAGGTAAGTGGATGCATCCAGTAGCTTTGAATTAACTCATTCCACTCAAGTTTAATTGGGGCAGAAATTCCAACAAGAATTAAAGGAGTTGAGCAAGTGTCTTTTCCAAGAATGTTCAAAATGTTATTGCATGGTGGATCTATTTGTTCTTGCCCTTTCGGCATTTCTTTGTGATCTCTTCCTTTTCTGGGTTTCTGACTTTTCCATGCACACAGTTTTCACTAATACTTAGGATTTTTTTCCTGAATGTGGAAGTCTGGCCTTTTGATATTGTAGTGAAATACAGACACGGGTTTTTAAACCATTCAGAGAGCATTGTTTGTTAATACATGCGAAATCAACATGTGTAACAGTAAGTTTCTCAGCCTTGGACCTTATTAGTTATCAGTCATGAGGCTCATGTGTTAAACAAAAGAATGTTTTCTAATCTGTTCCAGAACCAGTGTCACATTTTTATACATTCTCCATGCATTTTAAAGTGCATTTTTCTAAAATTCATTGTGTTTTCCATGGTATAGAATGTTGGAGAAAAACTAGTTTGAAAGATTTTCTATAAAGTTGTAGTCTCTACACTTCATTTCTGTTTCATTCATTTTAGGTATCACTGTTAGCTCATTCCACCAGGTTTGCTGCATTAGAAAGTCCCATGCACTACAGTGGCATAACTGTATCTACACTGATGTAAAAAAGAGTTTGGTTAGAGATGCTGGGGGTGTTTTTCAGTAAAGACTAGGGCTGGGATTTGCTTTTGACTCTGAGGAAGTCACTTAGAATCATACAAAATCTTGTGATAATAAGAATTCATGCTTCCAGTTACTTCTGTCTGCCATATTGGATTGAAGCCATCACTTCTTTGTACAGTATTTTTTCATCTATAAAATGAAGATGATTATTAACTTTCTGTCTCACAGGATTTTAGCAGACCAGTGAGGATAACATTTATAGAAGATAGGTAGTGCACAATGTGCTATGGTGTAGCACTCTTAGTGCTCAAATATACCATTCTAGTTAAAAGGAAGGTGCGTAGCAAAGGAGCTGCTTTCACTGGGAGTCAGATCACCTTTGCCTAGTAAAGGAAATTAAGAAAACCCACCGTTTCCTCAGTCAAGCAAATTCCAGTGCACCTCATTTTGGAAGATATTTTGCTTTATATACCTGTTTGCTTTGTGGGTGATTTTCTCCAGCGAGACGTGGTATGACACAGTTTTTATACATACATGATAAAAACTTTATTTCCAGCTGGTGCTGAAACAAAATGTATGAATGAAATGCATTCAGCAGACTGCCTTGATTGGCACAGCCTAACAACATAACAGTCAGTTGGTTTTATTACACGTGGTTTAGCTTACTACCTTGAAAGTGAACAAAAAGCAGTGGACCCTGAAGAATCCGAGATCTTCAGTGCCAGCTGAAATGAGTGCTTTCTTATTCAAGTGTAATCACCTTCTCCTTTTTGAATAGAAGTAGTAATTACTTGCAATCAGAATCATCATACAGAAAAGGATATCTCTATAAGCAAAATGAATAAATGGCTGGTAGTAGTTTTCAAAAAAGGACAGGGATCTGTCCCTAAAATTGCATTGTTTTCACTGTCTTCTGGGTGGATCTACAAAACTGTGTGTAGTGTAGATTGATTTAATATGTGTAATGTATGTGTCGTATATATGCAGGAGCACATAGAATGAAAATAGATTGCTGATGTGATGCTCGTAAGGGGAGGCTGGTGAGACATCTTTACATGACACAGTGAGCGTAGCATAGAGATACTTAAGTTCTCTGTGTCATTACTTGTTTCAGGAGAGTTATAGCTGTGTCATTGTAGGACTGTGCCTAACATCTGAGGATGGCATACTCCTCTCAAAAGGGCCCGTACTTCAGCACTAGTATTTCTTCATGGCATTGTGTTAAGTGTAGCAGTTCACACTCAGTGCTATCCTTTCTGTTATCCTACTGCTTGTGGGAGGCATGCCTTCAGTCTCCTATTTGTCCAAAATTCAGCAATATTTGGGTGCTTTCAGAATTTCCTCTTAAGATGTTGCCTTGGTGGTGCAGCTTTAACCTCTTCACCTGATTCCGTCTAAGGACACCTTAGACTTGACAATGCTGCATCGCTCAGCAAAATGTGGGAGAAGGAATTTCAGACTGGTATTCCCGAGTCTGCTGATGAGGTTTGATCCCCAGGACATGCTTAAAGCATGTGCAATGTTACACATGCAACTTTCTGGCACAGTGGTCAGAGTTCTCATCGGGATTGAGAGTGGCTTTTTGCTTGCGTCCTTCCTTTTCCTGGTTTGCCTGCATTTTCAGTTGGCTGAGCTGGCAGCCTTCCACTTAGTGTTCAGGCTTCTGCAAATTCTGCTGGTTGGATGCCAAACTCTTCCTCTGCTGTGCTTGGGTCTAATGTCAGCCTCTGAATTCTCTGCTAATAATTCTCTTTTGTGCCTCTGTCTAAAGCAACTGCAAGTCAGGTCTTGCAGCATCTGTATCTTTCTAGATAGTCTGTCAGTGCACTGGGAGAGCAGATGCAGATCTGCCCAACAAAAAGTGTAATATCCCCTTGAATCTGGGAACAGAAGAAGGGACATATGCCATTTTAAGTAATAACATGACACAGTCTGATATTTTAGTTGAGTGCCTTCTCATGAGCATTAGTGCAAAGTACATTTGCACTACTGATTTGAAGAATGTTCTCTTACTGAAATGCAGAGAGAATAAAATGTTAGAAAGGGTTGTCAGCTTTCTTTTAGATCAGCGTCACATTTGCTGCACTGCATTTAGCAGTTGTCTAATAATGGGAAATACTTCTGCTGTACTGCTTACTAGTTGGGTCAGAAGTAACTCATTCTGTTTAATTTTGTTCCTGGAGTACAGTATGTTGCAAATGATTAGCACAAAAAATAAGACAGCCTTTGCATCCCAGCAGAAAACCTGAGGATTGGCTCCCAGTGAGCAGCAAAGCAATACTTGGTTGCTAATGCTTCCCTTAGCTGGGGCTGGATCAGGCTGTTACAGGAACTGCTGTGCTTTGTTCCCACTGCTGTGAAGTGGGAGGACTAAAGGGTTTTGAGTGTTTTGCAACTGGGTAAGCAAAAGCACAAGAGTGAAATGGTTATATGGTGAAAGGCTCGAGTAGGTTCAAAATTTTAACAAGGGTTTGCAGTTTTAAAGGATTGTGTGGTTTTGTTTGGTTTTTGTTTTTAAAGGAGAAAAGAAGGTTGCTGTTGCTAATGGTGATAAACACTAGTTTTACCAAGCTGCATGTCCTAAGAAAGCAACGTTGGGCTAACCACTGGGATGCCTGAGATCCAGTTCAAGCTGACATCCACTTACCATTAGGAAGGAAGAGTCCTAGAATAAACTCTCTCCTACTTTCATAGTAGACTACTGACTAATCGCTTATGAAGTAATATCTTGGCTGAATAGCATTTTGTTTCCATTTGCTGCAGCCTGTACAGTATAATGGCATGCTGCTTGTTCAATTTCATAAATAAATAGACCCTAGGATTCTGAAAAGCCAGGACTTCTTCACCCTTTGTAGGAATTACTCTAACATTTCTCCGCTTTTAGGAAAGGGAGAAACAATTAGTCTTATCTCCAGGCAGCTCTCTTATGTGTAGATGGTATGCTTTTGTCTCCCACTGAGTTAGCCTTGTGGCATTTTAGCTCTGCAGTGAGTCATTTTTTGTGGGCTCACTTAACTGCTGTGACTCACAGTGTTTGAGAAGAGGGGGGGAGAGAAAGTTAAATGTCTCGCTTCACTTTTGCTTTTCCAAAAAAAAGAAAGAAAAAAAAAGCTACTAGAGGATCTTTAGATGTTTGATCATTTGGCTTGCATCTTTACAAGAAAAAAGAAGGAAGAAAAAAGGTAGGAAACACTTAAGGAAAAACAAAATATGAAGGGAAAAGGGATTTTTTTGAAATCCCTCTAACATGGACTTCCAGATTTGCAACCAGTATTTTGTAATGGGATGGTAGCTCTCTCTACTTGCAGTATTGCAGTTAATCCTCAAGTAGTTTTAAAATCCTTCTGTTTCCCAGTAATAGCTTAAGTGTTTCCCTTCACCTTTTCTTCCTCTCTAGTAACCCCTTAAAGTTGAGACTGTATCACATTCTTTTAATTCTTTTCTGCTGATAGCACTGAGAAACAAGCACACTTTCTTCATTTAGTTTGTGTGCCTGTCACTATTTACATTTCATCTCCTCTCCTGTTATCCTCCAAAGAGTTATGCTAAACTCTTCACATCTTATAATGTGATTTATGGGGAACAACTGTAATTTACCAAAGATAAATGAGTGGTTTCAGTTGTCTTCCCCTTCATGGAACTGTTCGAGAAAGAAAATGGAAACCTTGGCAAGGTATTAAAAGGAAATGCCATGAATGTGGATTAACCTTCCCTTTCTTCCAGTTTAAGAAAAAAGTGTCGGGCATGGATTAAGAAAAATGATCTCTGTTTCACAATAACTCCTAGACCATGTTGGATAGCTCTCCAGGAGAGGAATGGATGTAATCATGTGGTTAATTTATTTTCTGGATCAAATTTGAATATGGCCTCAGGCAGGGCAAAGAGGATTATTTTGGCAAGTATATTCTTGGATCCTGTGGTCTGGGCTAAAGGGACTCATGGAGAGGTATGTTTAGGCCATCTGTTATCCATGCTCTTTGTAGGTTGTGTGGCAGAGCTGGGAATCCCAGAACAAGCCATGTGAGTATCTGGTTTATCATGGATGGACTGTGTCTCTGTGTGCCCTTTGAGTCTGTAATGAATTTTGCCATTTGAATTTGTGACTGGATAATTATTTACTTCTAACGAAGCTGAGTGGTGTAGATTAGTGAATAAATTATTCCAAGTAATGAATGGGCATAGCATGCTGGGATTAGAACACCAGCTGGTTGATGTGGATGTTTGCTTCTTGCTCAGAAGCCATACCAGTTCGCTGCTTACTCAGAAGCTTACTAGCAGTACCGGTGCATGAAGCTTGTGTTATCAGGAAAGGCCTTCGGATCACAGGGACAAGGTCTGGCCCTATGCAACAGAAAGGAAAGATTTGAGAAACATCCTTTTGAAGTGTCAGAACTATCACCCTTGATCCTGGAGTCTGAGAAAGAGACCACAGAAAGAGTCTAACATGGCAAATTCTAACATCAGAAGTCAGAGGAGAAAGCTATCTATTATCAAGGCAAAGAGGTCCTCCACTTGGGTTAAGTATCCAGTTGCTACTATGCTGTCTGGTGGGAAACATGCAGGATGTGTGTCTGAAAATGCATCCAGCTAACTGGATTGGATTGTTCTATGGGCCAGACTCTTTGAGATTAATGAAATAATCCTCAAGTGTTTTGAGGATTTGATAGGAATGAACATTCTTCTCGGGGCAAGGAGGCAACAACTTGCTGTCATTTTGGATCTAAGACAAAAGATAAGACTCCGCAATAGTCTTATGAAGCCCAAAGAAAGATATTTAGCAGTATGTATCAACTATAAAGACAGAGTGTTGTCCAAAATATAATTTGATTGTTGTTGAACTTTTAGAGAAAAACTAGTCTGATATTCTTGGATGTATTTCTTGTCCATGAGTTAAGGAAAACGGAGGACAGGAAAATTCTGGACACAAAGAGTTGCTTATTTTTCTTTAAGTTTCTTTTCTAAAGAACTGTTCATCTTTTGTGTTGTGACTTAGAATAAGAGAAACAGACTGCTATTGGACAGGGTAGTAAAATCAAAACTAGAACAACAAAAAAGTGGGATAAATATGTGCTTGTAGAAAAAACAACATTGTGAACAAAAGGTGATCAAGGCTTGGAGGAATATGAGAAAAGAAATTCTATACTTATCCATGCATAAATGCTGGAATTGCATAAGCATCAAAGTTGGAATCTTTTATTTATGACTGTAATTTTAACATGGATGTATTATCAGTGCTTATTTAAGACTTTAACAAATGGGGTTTCTTACAGTGTATATGGGTGTTGAGTTTATGTCTATTACTGAACTGGAAAGTCTTAGTCTCAGTCTTTCAACCTCCTTGCTTAAGAAGTGTGCTGGTAGGAAAGCTGTTGCCGCTATTACTGTGTAATGTCAAGGAACATATACAATGGAAGGCAATGTCAAGATCAGGAGTTGTGTTCCTTGGGGTGGTGAATGAAGGATAGTAGGTATTGCTGAAATTCAGGAAAGATTTGCATAGTTGTAGTGCGAAGTGGGTACAGTCTGTTTAAGAAAGGAATGATGGGCAGAGTAGAGATTTTAATGAGTCTCCCACTCATTAAAAACACTAGGTCTTTTTCCAGCTCATGTGCAGCTGGGAAGAAAATAATTTTGGACTCATTTGCATCGCAAGAATGAGGTGAGAGGATTGTGAAAGACCACAGGATTGCTCCAGAGAACAGGATTATGAGTCCTGTAAGTGAAAGGAAAAAAAGTATGTGCTAATGTCAAGAACTTCCTTGTGAATGACTCTGTTGGAAAGGCCATGTTCCGAGTTCAAAAACCTTATCTGAACTTCTAAAGGCTATATGGCAATGTGCATAAAAATGTCAGTTTCTTTAAAATGCCCTATCATCACAGGAGAGTTCTGTATTAGACCCCATCCTGGCAGAAGACCCCCCAGCCCATCACATCAGGGTGTGGGCATCCTGTTTAGATCACAGGAATGATTCCCAAATAGTTAGAACTTTTTTGTTGTTTTTTAGTTCTCCAAATGGACAGTTTAATAGAGCAGAAAACAGAAGAGGTAGTGAGCGAAAACCAGTGAACAGAAAATGTGAGTAACAAACATCTGTTAACTCTTATGACGTTGAATCACTAATAAGTGGAAATATGAGCATCTGTTAATGCAGAAAGGCAGAAATGTTTGGTCAGTATTTTTCTTTCGTATTTGGTATAGAGAAGGCAGGTATATATATTCATGGTCTGTAACTGATGAAATACTTTCCATTTAAACTGTAGCTCAGCAAGATGTTAAACTGCAAGTATTAAAATTAGAATTATTATTATTATCTTTTAATCAGTGGGTCTGGAGAATTTGCAGCTGGGACTTCTAAAAGAGCTGGCCAAAGAGAGATGCTTGAGCTGTGGATTTTTCAGTTAGTTATGGAAACAGCAATGTTCAGAAGATTGTAAAGAAAACTGAACCTCTGTGGCAAGCTGCCTGAGTGGCCAAATTGTACTTCATAAAAAGCTTTTCTGTATTCATCATCATTAGATGTTTCAGTTCAACTCACTCATCTCTAAGGTGACGACTATTGCCAAATTTTGAAGTGAGCCAGTCCTTACTCTTTTTTTGCATAGGTTTGGCACCTGATCCTCATTTAGTATGAGTCAGGATAATGCTAGGCTGTCAGTGGAGCTACACAAATTTGCTTTACCTTAGCGTTAGCTCCTCTGGGTCCATGACTGAATGAAAAGATGATTCAGTGTTTGGAAGTTATTGACTCATCTTGGTAGAACCTGTCCAAGAGAGGATGTGATAAAGAGGAAGAAGGTGAGCCTGCTCACTCCTGTCGTCCAGCTGCAAGACTGTTGCTGCGTTGCTTCAGCCAAGACTTGCAGAGCTAAGCCATCCCCCCGGCTTAGGGCTAGAGACCACAGACACCAATATGTCGGATGATCAAATAGCGTTTATTGCGCACACAGCGAGCATTATATACCTTTAGCAATGCGGAACTGAGTGTGTCGGCCCAATCAGGGGGCAAGTCAGCGGTTTTTGCCTTATAAGGTATTATTCTACGTGGCATTTATAGCTTACTCCCTTGCGTACATCGCGTGATCTTCCGAGCGCCCTTGTCCCTATTCTTTCCGTACATCGCGTGATTTTCCGAGCGCCAGGCCTTACTCTACACAAGACAAACTCTTCTGAGCACAGAACTGCATAAAGGTGCACCAGTGTGTTCCCGTGGTGATTAGCTTCTGCACTCAGGTACCAGCAATGTTTAGAAAACTTAACTGGGAGAGTGTGTTTTAGAGCCACATTACTCGCAGTGAGGCAGGCCTTGCAAGAAAGCTTCTATGAGCAACTCCCTCTCTTTAGGAGGGGGTTGTGCAAGTATGCAATGTGACAGAGAAGGGTTCCTAATTCATTAGTGTGAGGCTAAAACCATAAAAACATACAGGTTTGCACTACATCTGAGCTAGCCATCATTCTAACACTGACACAGTGGCCCTGACAAAGCCACTTAAATCTTTCTTCCTAGTGAAATGGGGATAGTAGTAAATGCTCTGCAAAAATATTGTAAAGATTAGTTAGATAAAACTGGTGACAGAATATTTAAATACTCACCTCTCTGGTGTAGCTATATACTACTTTTCGCAAGTGTAGCTCTAAAAATTATACACCAGTAGTGATTATAAATGAGAAGACAAGGCAAATTAAGGTGCTTCCCCTGAGCTACCCAGCCAGCACTTCTAGTAGCAAACCCAAAAGCACAAACCACAGTCAAGCTGTAGAATAACCCATTTTCATGTTCTTTTCTATTTCGGGTGCTACCACCTGGCTGGTAGCAGTTGTGCTAAATGATATGATGTGCTTAGAGAGGCAGCTACCTGGATGACCTGGATACCATTCCTCTGCAGGGCTGCAGAAGACTCATTGTCATGCATGAGATAACAGAGATGTGTATCATGTGTATCATGTATCCCACGTGGAAAACAGCCAGGATTCCACTGCTAAGTATAGGTCAGGGGAGTGAGCCAGGCCTTGCACAGTTGCTCTGTGGTCATACTGGATCTGAAGATAGTACCTTTTGTGCTAAGTTAACATATAATGTAACATTTGCTTGGGGGCTGGTGGAGGGGGAAAGCAAAGGGGGAAATCAGCCTTTGTGCTTAGCATAGATTTGACTCAAAATCAGCTCGTTAGCAGTGATCATAAGAACACAAGGGAGAGTTTGAGGTCTGGTTAGGGAAGGAAATAGGGAGTTTGGAGCCTCTCACTGTAAGCTTCCTGGAAAAGAAGTAGATCACATGCGGTTCACTGTATCTCAGAATGGGAGTGGCAAAGCTGCTGGCTTATTTGGACACTCTTGACAAGGCACAACACACAGTGAAATAAGAAATAGTAAATAAAGCAAGAGAGAAGCTTATCCGACACCTGGCATTACCAATCATCGGTCACAAGGAGCAATGACATTTTGCACAGTTAAGTTTTGAGAGAGACAGAGTGAGAGTGTATGGTTGGTCTTCCAGAGTGCCTCCACTAGTAGATCAAATCCATCTTCATCGTGGATTGAAGATTCCTTCCTTCTTGGCAGTGCTGGTGTTTTAAATTTTCTCTTATTTCTGGTGAGTAGTGAATTGAATCTGTTGCGATGACATGAAAGCAAATACGTTGTGCTTTGTTCCACTGCCTGTGAGACTATGGAAAAGTGGCTGAGCAGTAAGGGGATACAGTGAGGTACATGGTTTACTTTTTTTACCCTTTGAGTTCAGTGTCGTAATCTGTCACCTCAGAAAGGGGTCACAGACTGATAGATCTAACTGCAGAACTCCTTCCCTGTATTTTATTTTTGCAGACAATTTACTTGGATGATGACGTCTCTTCCTTTGTGCAGATCAGAGGTTCTGTTCCACTGTTTTGGGAGCAACTGAAGCTTCAGGTAAACATACAATCAGAAAGCCTACCTTACTTATCTCTCTGGCTACTTACAATTTAGAACTTCAATAGAATTTAATTGGGTTTTTTTTATAAAGAGCTGCAATGCTCATTCGGTGAAAATGCTGAGCTCTGTCATTTTAGGTTTACCTTGAGGGAAATTCTGCATGTTTAGATAAACAGAACTATATCAGGCAAATGGCTATAGTAAAGTCTAACATTTTCATGTGTTTGAGTGCCTCTACAAGGAACTATTTGTAAGGGACTGTGTCCTAATGTCCTAAGATGAAACTTACAGCAATATCTTTATAACATTTTCAATTTTATTTGAGGTAACCTTTCCTTCTCAAATGCTTGGTTGACTTGGTGATACTGACCTCCACAGTAAAATTTGGAGTATTTAGGAATACCAAGAGCTCTCTAGGAGTACATTACCTTGAAACAAAATATAATGTCTGGATGGTGTGTTTGCTAGATTTCAGTCAAAAGGGTAATGATGATCTGATCTGATCTTCTGCAAGGCAGAGATGTAGGATTTTATCAGGAAATTAAGCCCAGTGGCTTACATTTCATCTGTGACTTACATTTTATATACAGTTACAAGATCAAATAAAAATCATCCTAGCACTCTTTGCATTCTCTTAACAGAGGGATAAGCAACTGGAATGAGTATGCTCTTATATACATATACATTAGTAGAGAGAATGCATAGAGTGACTGTTTTTTTAGATACTTCGAAGATTATTTGATACTTTCTTATTAAATCTAGCACCTAGGTACTATTCAGAATTACTAGATTTAGGGCAAAAAAAAGATGACTAAAAGGTCTGTGTTGTTGTCTGTTAGCAACATCCAGTGCCACACTTGCTTCTTTTTATGAAGCAGGTCTGCACATATGGTCGTGCACATGCCCTCTGCCCATGATGTAGCTGTATCCAGCACTGTTGTTCCATATATTATGAAGCCAAAGAGCTTTTCCCCAAGTATTTTTGGCTAGTGGGTAGCATCTCTAGTTAAACAGAATTTTCAACTTTTTAGTGGGGACACAGTCTGCTTTTTTGCCTAATCTGGATTAAATATGCAGCTTTCATTTATGTTGGTGAATACTCATACCTCTTATTCCTTGGATTTGAATGTGCTGGCGTTGGTGTTAGAAAGAATTGCAGAAACTAAGCTCATGAAAAACAAAGGAAGATGATGAAGTACAGGAAACAATGCATGATCCTATAAATAATTAGCAGTGTAGTTTTTGGAGAGGAAAGAAGCCCTCTGCATACTGTAATAACAGTAGCTGTCATTCAGAAGGAGCTTGGGGCTCCTGTTGTTGACATACATATTAAAAGTCCTATTAGACTGATGGCACAGGATTTCTTCCTTCATATTTTGAAAGGACTGTTCTGATGCTTTTTTAGTTTGTGTGAATAATGAAAGATGAAAGAACTCGGGACACAACCCGTGGAACTGGCATAACTGCAGCCTTTTCTGCCGAGGGAAAGGCAGAAAGAACACTGGGCACACAGCATACTTGTGTGAGGCAGTGTGAGATATTTGCTACAGGAAGCTGGCAAAGGGATGTGATTTGTTTGGCCATAAAAAGATGTGTAGGTATTCCTTTGCTTAATGATAATCATGTTTTCACTTCTAATTGTAAACGTTGTTGTCTAATAAAAGCTGTGGATTTTGTATTAAGGATATTACGTGTGTGTGGGTGTGGAGTCAGTTAGAGATGTCTGGTGCTGTTAAATGTTTTTCTCCGAAGGAAAAAGGGAGACATCTAGTGATTTAGGACTCTAGCAGTTTAAGAAGTTATTTTTCTCTTTTTTTTTTTTTTTCCTTCCAATATTTTCTTTTAGGTGGGTTCCCATCATCTAAGGCTTAACAGAGGTCTAGAAGCTAATGCTCCTGCCTTTGACAGGTAAGCTTCGTTCCACTTTGGCAATAACACAGCAGCCTGGCATTTAACCAAGATTCCACTTTATGCCTTCATAGTAAATCCTGAGAGATGCAAAACACACAGCCAGTCTCCCAGGTGTTGAGAGTTATTAAGTGGGTTTACTTAATTTATTCACTTATTTTTGTGCACTTTCCTTTCTGTTTTCAATAGTAATGGAATTAATTTGGTCTCCTGGCTTGTTTCTGTAAAAGCTAAGAAATACCAAGTAACAAGCAAAAGGAAAGTCTGTGTAATCCTTTGTGAGCCAACAAATGTGAATTTACACCTAAAGTACACAGAACACGTGTTCTTTACCACTGTAACCCAAGTAATTAAAAAGTAAACACTGCTTCCATTCAATTATGGACTTGTTTTTCTCCCCACTGCTATACAGAAATAAGTGTCTTATTCTATGATCAGTATTGTGTGGTGGTATCATGCTGATGCTTTTCTGCTTTACCCAAAGACTGGCTTGTAAAAGTTTTTAAACCATTAAGACTCTGCTTGTCAGCTGGAAACTGTAAAAAAAGCCATGCATTAGCTTGATTCCTTTGAATGTCTGTGAAGTGCTATCCTTTAAGGGCAAACTCCTATGGATATCAATGGGAACATTGCCTGAAAAGGGCATGAAGAATTCAGGCTGTGGGAAATTTTCTATGTGTAAGTACCAGGTCATGTGATTAATGTTTGGTTTGGTTTGGTTTTGGCAAATCGGAGTTTATGTTGACTTTGGGTAAGGCTTCATAATTCCCTGATTTCATTTACTACAACTGTTAGTAAGCATGACATTTGTGACTATTAAGTTTTGCAGCACTGCAGACCTCAAACAGGGGTTAGAACCTAAAGGGACTATGCCCCATTAGCAATCCCTGCTCCAAAGGGTCTTAGCCTACATTCTCCACACTTTTTAAGGTTCTTAAGTCCTACTGAATTCAAATGCCTTTGAGACTCATGGTCTTGTGGTCATCTGGTGCCATGGTAAGTTGCCTTGCCAGTGTCCTTGAAGCTCCATCTTAGAGGTTTGCATTCCACAGCAGAGAGAGTTTATATAAGAAGAAAACAGGAACTTGTTTAGCATCCTCTTGTGCTGCCCAAGAAATTGAGAGTACCTCAGCAAGGTACTTAGCTCAGATAATTTTTTCTTTCTGACCCTGATACCAGTGGTGAGTAGCTTTCCTCTGAGAAATGTGAACATGAGTTTGCACTATTCCTTCTTTCCATTGTGCACAGCAAAGCCTTGGGTTTGATCAGGTTATGAGTGTCTCTGCTTACCTATCTACAAAAGACAGTCCTTTGAAAATGGGCAAAGAATAAGCAACTGCTTATAAGGAAAAAGGCCCTGAAACTTAACAACCTGATACAGCTTTTCTGAGAACATTAGATTGAATGGAGCCTGTTAAATTTAACCATCTGATAGGTTAATGTGTTGAGAAGGCACTGTGGGAAGTGAATGGTAATCTCGTTAGTGGATCTTTTGTGTTCCCTCTCCCTGGGAAATCCTCAGGCAGCTCTGCTGACAGTGCTCAAGCAGGTGACCTGAGCTTCAGCAATTTTGCTGTATGGAAGCAATATTGTCAAAGTAGGATTTTGATGCTGGGGTCAGAGAGGTGCAAAGGTATGGGAAGAGTTGGCATACAGAGAACTGGTTGCAGAATTAGGAACATAAATAGCACCAGAAAATATATTTAGCCATGTTTCTTAAAGGCCATGCTGGTGACTTGTTCTTTCTTTTATCCCCTTCCATGGTTTTCTTTGGGGCTTATTTCTGGTTATAGGATTTAATGGTACATGCCAGGAGATGTATGCTTGCTATTTCCCTGGCACTTTTTCCTTGCACGTCACTTTGCAACATGTAATAGCTTTTCATTTATGTGAGAGTTTATTTTATTTTTCTTGTCTATTTCTACCCAGCTTCCTTTTAAGTACTACCAAAGTGGTGTTAGTACATGATGGAAGATGGCTTTAAGGTCTAATTATTTCCCGATGAGCCAGCAGAACTCCTGTAGCACACACATGCTAACTGAAAAAAAATTATTGAGGGGGGAACGAGTGCCTCTGCATCTGGCTAAAAGCTCTTGACTTGAGAGTCCCTAAACGTCAGGCTTTGAGAGATGGGATAGACGCCAAAAAACCACCCACATTATACTTGTCCTAGTTTATGTTTTTCCTGAAGAATCTGGGTCAGGCCACTTGGCTGAAAGCAAGTTTGGTCTGATCCAATGCAACAGTTCTTATGATTGCTAACTTTCCTGCTTAATTTAATTAAGCTGAGAGTGAATGTCTCAATGTTGCAGTAGCTTAGAGATGTTTGAACTCTGTCGCATATGGCATGTGTATTTCTGCTGATCTGGCTTTGGCACTGGCATTCTAGGCCCCATTGCTGCTACCAGCTCTTTATAGGCTTAGCTCTGCAAGATGCTGGGCAATTCCTGTTGAAGTGTAATATGTTTTCTTCTCTTGTTGTCTTTCCTATGTAGTTCCCAGGCTGACAGCCAAGAGGTGGGAACATACAAAAGGCATTATCAAAGCTAACAGTGACATAAAAGGTCTGGGGCCTGTTTCCTAAGATGCCTCTTTCTTTAAGTTCAGTAGAGAATACTGTGTCCATTAATTGCATCCTTTCACCATTTGTACTTTAATAATTGATTGCGAGGAAACTGAGGAAGATATCTGTAGCTGCTGTGGCTGAATCTTTCTGCTGGATGGAGTGACCAGTGATCTTGACTTATGTATTTTAAAAAACATAGTAGGCAACATAACATGGTTTTGTTTAGTACCTATTATGGTTACTTTTGCTGTAGGCATATGATGCTTCTGAAAGAGCAGTATGGAAAACAAGTGATCGTTAACCTGTTGGGAAGCAGAGGAGGGGAGGAGGTGCTCAACAGAGCTTTTAAGGTAAAAGCAATATTTATTTTTTTTAACTGCTGATTTCCCCTGAGCCTCCATGTTCTTCTGTTTCCCTTCTGGCCCAGCAGGTGATGAGCAGTATATCTAAAGAAACTCTTATCTCTGTATTAGATGTTACGTACTGAGAGGGTTGTGCTTCATAGTCTCATGGCTTAATTTCCAGCACTGCCTTCCTGCTTATTTCTTCATGCATTTATGCACATTCTCTTTGATCAGGCTCTTTAAAAAAATTGCCTTAATTTACCTAAGAGTAGTTCTCATTTGCAAAAATGAATTGTGGTCAGTTTCGTCATAGTATGTAGTCACCTATGCAGTCAGGTGCCTCAGGGGGTTGCTGGAACTGCTTTGGGGGCCAGACCCTGACCCTGGCTCACTGAGTGTAAGCAAGCTGTCTGGCTCTGATTTTAATGGGAAATAGCTACCTTGCACTGATTATGATGGGAATTAGTTGCCTGAGTACCAGATGACAGTGATGCATGGAGAGAGGTTTTCCTGGCCCCTACGTGTCCCTAGACACAGCTAATACCTGAAAGC